CTTTATGTATAGAAACTGGAATGAAACCAACGTTCCATTTTGTTTGCTGCCAGATGCGCTATAAATTTCGCAGCACACTACGCGAAGACACGGCGTTTGCGAAGATTCCACAACATTTATATTTTCCAGAAGATTGAAGCTAAGGGATCTTCCTCCGCTGCTAGCAGCACCAAGGAAGCTCAAAGAGCGCGTACGCCCGAAAAGGTACAAGAAGCGAAATGGGAATTTGTAAGCATTTCGTTGTGATCTTTCAGAATTCTCCAAAAACCAATCCATCAACCGTATTTCGAGTCTCGCATCTACACGCAGACTTAGAAAAGTGTAACAGTGCATAAATATCACAATTATTGATGGAATATGTATCTCGAGATTAGTACTTGGGTTCATCTGGAATTCGCCACATTATGGCTTTCAATGGCGTTTGCGTCGTAAAGCTCTTCAGTTTCACGATCAGTGTTGTCCTGCGTATGCCTGATGTGTGAAAGTTTTAGGACGAGAAAGACCCCGCTGTCATTGCCAAATCCGTAGAAGCGATGTTGTTTCGGTTGAAAAAGAGTGGAGCACTTAAAATGATTAAAGACGAATTCATGTAAGTTGCGTTTCATCAACCATCTGCCTAATTGGTCTTAAGATATTCAAGTCTGTGTTCACTAATATAACAAGTTATACCCATTATTCAACCAAATTGGATGAGACGGCTAGTAAGCGTGGAAGCGATCTGATTCTGTGACTATTATGTTTGTCCATATGTCTTGTAAAAAACTGGATGAATTTTGATTTTAATATTTTATTATTTTGTTCCATTCATCCAGCATGTACACATCCATCAATATCTACAACCTATTGCCAACGCACTAGAAGCTGTTCGATGCTCCTCTTAGTTTTTTATTGAGAAAGACATCAGATGTCGATTTTAACGTCAGAGGGTTCCGAGATTTTCCTGGATTTTCTTGGTGAGCGGTTGTGCAACGGTGTTATAAAAGCAAACTATCTTGCATTTCTTCCATATCAAAAGCGTTGCAATAGGCTGTGGCCAATTGATTGCGTTGACTGCGATATGTACACGTAAGGCTTTCCAGAGTCTACAAAATCAGTTGTCGGTATTCACCGAAAAATCCAACGATGGCCCCTGACAGGTTCACTTCAGCTAGTAAGATATCCCAAGGCGCTTAGGCTGCGTGTTGTTCTCAGTGTGGTGGCTTGGAACCAGCGCTGGTACTGGTGAATTAGAGCTTTTCTATACTTTCCTTTATAAAGCAGGTCGGTCGCATAAAACTTTGGGACTTAGGCTTGCCAATACTTATGTTGCACGCGCCTGATTATTTGACGACATTTCGTGCGGCCTACAGTCCCTTCTGAAAAGAGAATTAGGAAAAATTCTTCAAGAAACCTTCCAAAACATAAAGGGCCCATTTCGCGATCACCGATTCTTCTGCTTTGAAAATGTAAGCACAGATATGCGAGTGGACTAACAAGTAATGGTGAGGAAGAAAGGGAAAAAAGAAGTCATCGAAAACAAGAAATCAAGCTATCTTTCTGTAGCGTCCCCGCGCTTTACAATCCTCGAGTTTTGAAGCATGGCATTAGTGAGAGGGAGGGAAGCCACAGCAGATCACTATAATGCAGAACTGATATGCGTTTGCGATAGTTGATGCATCAGATGCATGGTTTTGATTAGGTTTGTCGAAAAACATCGAAAGGTTTCTTTTCATGCCAGGTGAAAATAATTCATTGTCGTGGGTGAGGACCCTTAAGTCTAAACGAAGTAGTATTTGCGCGAAAAGAATGGCATTATACTCGATATCGGTGAGTTGGGGTGGGCGTGTCACCGGAAGTGACGTGCACTTGATAGAAACTATGTGGATAAGCTGCTTCCAACATACATCGCTGGCTATCAGCAAAGCATGCTGGCAACAGCTTATCCACGCACTTCTATCAAGTGCACGTCACTTCCGGTGACACACCCACCCCAACTTTCGGATATCGACTGTATAATTGGCAAGGTGGGCTCTGGAAAAACAACAACACTCACTATTTACGTAACACATCATATCTTTCGTTGAGACACTTGGTCTACGACCAGTGCATCACACTTGCTACACTTGTCGTATCATTCACAGGCAAAAAATGGCTGCTACATTGCTGACGCTTCATTTTCACCAAAATTTTCTGCGATCGCCTTGCGAGCCCTCGATGAAAAGGCCTCCGGCTATCCGATTTTGCACGATCCCTGGTTGAGTCTTCTATCTGAATCGCACAGCTCAATCGCAAATCGACCTTGCTTAAACATGGCCGCCTTTCTGCAGCTCCACTTTGGGTAGGTATTATCACTTCGATTAGATATTATGAGTGCTCCTCCACTACATTATTCAACCTGCGCTGTGCCTTCATAGCGACTGAATAATGGCAGCATCTACATCTGTGTGTCGAACTGTAGTGCCTCATGTCGTGGGGACCGTGTGATATATGAAACTTATAGCATTGATGTTGATTGGGTCAGATACTATACTTAAAAAGCTGCCTCACCCTAGGTAATGACACAATAGCCGATCAAGTCCTAGAAACTGATGAAGGCATGCTAGGTTGAAGCTCCATGGTACGCCAATTACGAGATGAGAATTTCAGGAGATCGAAGAATTATATTCCTGAAGGCTCGAAGAAAGCATTCGCAGAACATGAAAAAAGTATAATCGCTTATAAAAGACATTCTACTACTAGATGACACCAGAGTGGTTTTAAAAAACAGAGGTCAGTTTGAAGGGTTTTTAATCTCACCCAGTCGCAGACTAGATGCAGAATAAGCCTGACTGAAATCAACAATAACTGCATTTCTGTTCTGTGCTCCAATCTATAGATTGTCTTTGAAAAGCATGATAAATATTAAATAATTCTAGCCTATATGTATATACACTTGGTGTGCCAGAAACTTGAAGACGAGAGTAATTTTCGCATGGTATCTTTCTGCTAGCTAACCTAGGTCGATGAAAATTTGGCGCATTAGAAAGAAATGTAAAAGTTTAGTGCAGTGAGTTACTGACAAAAAACAGTTGTTGGCGCATGGGGTTGCACTAGGACGATTGCTCTACTACCGTCACGATAACTAGGATCAGAAGGTGCACCGCTATCACGAGTTGGGCTGATCCCCAGTGAACCCGGGAATCCCCGCAGCGAAAAATTTTTCGCAACGCGAGAAAATGCCCCTAGTGGCCTAATGGGGCCATGCTGGGCACTCTCGCGACGCTGCTCGGTTTCCGATTGGGTACCTCTCGCCGTCGGGGCGATTACGCTGAGACTATAAGACTCATCGATGAGACCCACTTCAATGCGGAGACCACGAGGAAAATATCCTTATTTCTCGGATTCTGGGCCGCTTATCTTGGTTATCCTTCATCTCTGCACCGCTGACCACATATATCTTGATTTTTATGAGCTGCTTCTTCGTCGTGAAATCCGCCTTTAAGGAAATGATTATATACATGCTAGCAAAGTCATGGTAGGCACCAACATGTTCATTTGTACACAAGGGCCATTAACCAGTTCAGCGGAAGACTTTTGGGCTATGATTGTTCAAGAAAAAGTAAAGGTACGATGTCTGACGTCTATAGTGGAGGGTTTTGTACCCGACAGCTATGATACTGTTTTTGACAGTTAATCGTTATGCTGTGCAAATTCATTGAAGAAGGAAAAGAAAAATGCTGTGAATATTTTCCAAAAAATGGAGGTGAGAAAGCAGTTTGCTGCCGTTTATTTTTCACTTTTCACAACTCGTTTACTTTACTTCCGCTTCTTCATAAGCATTATTCGGAGCAGGAATTGCTGTAGTTGGAGCATTCAAAATAGACGCTTTCGATAGAGAAGTTATTCCGGATGCCGATGGTGCCACATATGGAAGATTCGAGGTGTCCTTCGCAGGGAAAACGCATCAGGTTCGCACTACTGGCCTGTCAATAACATTCCATGGTAGTGGGTACTGTGGACACGTAGGGTATAAATCTTCTAACAAAGTACGAACAAATGAGTACTCTCTCCGTATAGCAGAAGTGCAATTACAGGGTAGAACATAAATATGGTGTCAAAACTGTGACCTATATGAAAGAGAGGTCGAAACAATTATCAAGCAATTACTAACACTTTTTCTTAGATATGGTCGTCTAGTGATTTGGCATTTTCCTTCAAACAGAATTTGTCCCTTGCTCACATGACATTCTTCAACACTTCATCTCGTAATTTTCAGGGGCAGCTGCTAGATATTCTTCCAAGCCATTTTTTTTCGTGCACTGCTTCGGCTTCAATATCGACCACATTATGATCCACCTCACTCAAGGGGTGGTTTTCTCTGACCAATCTTTGCGCGGCTTAATGTCGGAACAAATGGGCTCCAAAGCAGAATTTCACACAATCAATCCGTAATAACGCATTAATCCAATCGTTAGCTGTAGTAAATCGTGAATAGGATCTCTCCTTCAAAACATCGTCCTAGAAGCAACACCCCGAATGCTTAGTGTCGGAGAATCTGCTTAGAGGGTGCTAGAATGATTTACGAGCAAAGCCATTTAGACGAGTTACGTAACGCACATGCGCAACGTGGATCACGACATAGCGGCTTGAACATCAAGCGCGGTTTAATTGAGCCGTGGAGCAGGCAGGTGCGTAATTCGTCTGGTTGCCCCTTCCTTATAACAAAAAGAATTTTGTTTAGGCATCATCGACAATTTCTTTGCTTTTTTTCATTTCTGGTGAATGTCGTCCACACCGTGATGGCCCACAATTTCCATCTGAAAATCGTTGTTTTGAGATTTCGCTCACATTCGACGCGAAGCCTCAACTGAGTGCACAAAAGCGTCATTGTACTCGGGTTCCGTTATTCCCCTGAAGCTCGGGAGATTTATTTGACAATGTTCTGCTCTGGCAGTTCTTCGAAAGTCCAGATAAAAATATTTATCTGTGTTTCTCGGAGCACGCATAATCCTTCTAAATCTTTAAAAGCTTTTTCTCCGTCGAAGTTTGCACGAGCTCCTTTTTCGCCCGACCAACTCATCTATATTACTACTCTGCTTCCTTTCCCCAGCCGAAGGAGCTTGTCGTTATGGTATTAATAAGCTTGTTGCAAGTCTTCTATGCAGAACCCTTCGCATCGTTTATCCGCGTTTTTTCTTCCATCTTTCAAATCTGTAGCCGGTTTTATCATGGTTCTCTCGGATAGCGGTGGATACGCTTTTTGACAATTCCCATTCGGGCATGCCTTTCTATCATCCGTAAGCGATCAACCGCTATGGCAAAGACCATATGTACTGCAAGAGAGTTGTATGACGGCCTGGCGATGCATCCTTCGGATATGGCAGATCTTGAAAAAAACCACCCGGCACCTCGTGCGAGTAGAAACCCCACTTATTTTGGATGGGGTGATTTCTCTTCACCAAATAAGATCATGAGATCATGAAATCGTTATATAAGAAAGCCATTGGCGAATCTAATGGTGTATTCATGAGCTCTGTTCACTATTCAATAAATGCACTTGCTGCAGTTAAATCTTGCACCATATTTATGCATCATCCTTTACATGTAACTGTGTGCCGGTATGTCGGCTCTGCACGACGACCTTGTGAAGAAAATTGCTATTCAAGTTGAGGTTTATATAAAGAAGTCATAAAATGAAATGAAACACAAATGTCGCTGTGAGTAACTGGTCCATACAGAACAGAAAGAGCAAAGTATTTATGCGTGCTTTTGTAGGGGAAGGTTTCCTTTTGAACTTAATTCAGAAGAAATTCTTGTAATAGGAATGATACCAGGTTGACCACATATGGTACGAAAACTGGGCTGATCACATGGCACCAGATAATTTCAAAGCGACTGTTGAATTGATCCGGCTAGCACGGAAGAAACGGCAGAACGCGCCCGTTGTAGTGCACTGTTCGGCAGGTAGCCTTCCCTCTAATCTTCCAATGGACACATATTTCTTGACGTGTTATGTCTAATGTCTACTGCCAATTTCAGGTGTTGGTCGATCCGCTTGTTTCGTCGCCATTGAAATGGCGGCACATCATGCTGCAACAAATTCGTCCTTCAGTATGGAAACAGTGCTAAAAAATTTACGAGACCAACGCATGCACAGTATTCAAAACGATATAGTAAGTGTTAAAGCACGGTACATGTCACATTCATAACAAATAGCATGTGCTAAAATTGCAGCAATATCTCTACGTATACCGTGGTCTCGTTGAGTATCTGATAGATCGAGGCGTCACTAAACGGCTTGATGTTTTGAAGTTTATAACCGATTACGATAAATTAATAAAGCGGAAGCAACAAAAGGGTGAGTAGGTTACAAAAGAAAAAGTCGACACAAAAACAAGCTGAGTAGCATCACTGCAACCTTGAGCATCAAGGGGAGGAAAAGGAGGGACAGCGCTTTTCCAAAGCAAAACAGCATTGAATTCAAAAAACTAGTACCAAAATCCAGTCAGCAAAGAGATACGACGGTGTTTACATGGTTTAATGATCAATATTAAAGGAATCTTCCACGGAAAAAGCTCCGCCCTCATTACCACAGAAAACGATACCTTAAAGGAATCTTCCACGGAAAGAGTGATCATTTTGTCTTGTGTGTAGGATTAGTATTATCGAAACTAACGCTTATGTTCCGTTCTTTTTGCTATGCTCATGAGGCTAGGGGCCTAAGGGGTATCGTTTTTCTGTGGTAATGGAGGCGGAGCTTTTTCCGCGGAAGATTCCTTTAATGGTTTGGAAAGCTTGTAATGACTTTGGGTAGCCGGTGTCGGTGTTGTTTGTGATAAATTAATAACCTCTAAGTGACCTCTTCGTATTTATTATCCCTACTATATAAAATCCGCCAATTATGTCTGTCTGTGTGTGTCTATACGCACGTCTGTCTGTCACGAAGCTCATAGTGCGCGTCGCAACAATCATCAAAGGTTAATTTTCAGATATGATGTGAAGGTTGGACGTGAACATTCTTGGCGGTGAAAGAAGTGAATCCAGCAATGTGATGAGGCTGATTAAGTTGCCTTAGAAGGGACGAGTCATGAAAGTCATAGCGCGGCGTTCCAGTGGCAAGCGAGCGTAACTACCAACATTAGTTTTCTTATCGAACATGCTCTGTCAAGTGCGCGTCCACCTGGGACGTAAGAACCTAAATAAATAATATTAAATATACGCAAGGGGGTGGGACTGGACCCTCATATTTGATGAAGGGCGAGATAATATAGCTGATTAAGGACTGAAGGGGGCGTAGAATGCTGTGTCCGCGAGTTCTTTGCGGCGTGTCCGCAAGCAGTAATTCAAAGGTTGCTCCACAAGATGACGCAGGGGGTGAGAACGAACTGCTTTTGGTGGGAGCAGGGCAGAAAGTGATAAAGCCTGATAAAGGACTGATAAGGGCGCTGCGGACAAATTGTACGTAAAATTCACAGTGAGTGTCTCTGCAGCAATGGAGCGTCGGTTCCAACAAGTGATGTGGAGGGTCGGACGGGAACACACTTGGTGGGGACAGAAACTGATACAAGCCGGATAAGCGACGAAATAACGACCCCTTGCATACCGCACACAGAGAGTCACTCAACCAGATTTCGAGATAACCATCATTTGAATAACATTCATTGCGTTGTTTATCCTCAGCTCAATATCATTAAGGCGCTACAGTCCCAAACTTCGTATACCCATGTACGTGGATTGGTTGGGAGGATTACACTGGTTTTTCCGTTCTAATTATCATATTTGCATAGGAGGGCGAGTCGTGTGGAGGCGGGGAGGGAGGGGGAGGGTGGGCTCTTAATAACACTCGTACCGCCACAAACTTTGCTGATAATCGTGCTAGGTGGTTGCTCACAGACACGACTTCGCCCGCTACACTCACGCGCGCGTACGAAGCAGACAGTCAGCGGACCACTTTTTCGAAGCAACATATTTCTTACCGGTGGATTCTAACGCTGCACCGATTGCCCAGTTCCACCGATGAATGTTCATTCGCGCGCGGTATGCGTGTGTACTCAACTGGAGTTGTGTAATCATATTGTTATCCTCACTCCATTTGTGTTGTGTCGTGCAGCATGAAATATGAGAAGTAGAATACAACGCCTTGCTCGACTATCAGGCATGTCAACGCGGGTTGGAGTCTTGGCAGTCCTCTCTGAGACTATGGAGAATTAGGTCTTGTCTCCTTGAGTACAAAAGGGAGCTATTCCGACCGAAAAAATCTCGATAGACGTAAACAAAACATAATGCTGGATGCAAATAGTTAGGCCGATGTCAAACTGTGCGAAATCGCGCGATTCGCTAGCGTCCGCGGTCGCGTTGCGTACAGCGAAACGAGCCATTTCCTGTGCGACGCAACCGCGTACGCTAGCGAATCGCTCGATTCGCAAAAGTCTGACATAAGCATTACACCGATAATGATCGCACTGAAGGATCGCTGTATCTGCCCATGCTACCGTAATGCTCACGAGAAATCTATGCCGATGCATCCACTTCTAGTGAACAGGGATATAGGAATAAAGAAATGAATAACACCTAGACTCGTGCAGATAATTTTATTTTACGATTTTCAGATGGTAAAGACAAACCAAAAGACGAGTCGAAGAAATCAGGCGATTACACGCCGTCTGTCTATTTCAACGATCACTACTATAATTCATTTTATTGACAGTTTACCATATCAACTAATTATCATGCATACAATAGAATATAACATATCAAGTCCTATCTTATTACGCGATTGAATTTAAAATGTCATCTGAGGGCACTTGAGGGAGTGAACAGCTTCCAATAAATGATATTTTCTGCTTTTGTTCCATTGTTGTGATTCATGGCAAAAAAGTAGTTGAGTGAGCCTGAACAGGGGGCCAAAAAAACGGTCACTTTGAGGATCAATCAAGTTCTGCTGCCGTCTGGTTGTTTGTTGTTGCGGGAGGGGGTTTACAGAAATTTTAATCTTGAACTGCCAGCCTCATGAGCTCGGAAGATGCCTGATTCCAATTGTCCGCTCTTCACGTCCTTCAGTTATGACCGTCATCTTCAATTGCCGTCAAGCTCAGGGAGGGCTACCATAGTTTGCTCCCCGCCTGAAGCTGGCTAATATCCTTCTATTTTATAAAGCGCTAACTTTGTGTGTCGGTTTGTGTATCTGTATGTGTGTGTGTGTGCGTGTGTATGTATGTATGTGTGTCCGTCCGCAAAATGAAGTGAGTGAGAAGGAAGCTCATGGGATAAACAAACCGCTAACAAATCGGGTAGCTTACAGGATTTGAGATATCAATGTTTTGTAGCAGGATAGTTGTGATAACACTCTTAGGGCTATATAAACACCTGCTTAGCACACTTCCGTTCATTCCACATGGTGCTGCAGTGGCAGCTGGAGGGCAGTGGAGAGAGGAAGGGAGGATGAGGAAGGGAAGCGAAAAATCTACCGTCATATCATGATTGTGTCCCTTCTACTGTTTGAAACACCATTGTGTTGCATACGCGTCACTTCCAGAGGTGTTGGTGTCACAGGAGGAAGGGACCATAGCGGAGGATAGAAAGCTTGCGCAGGAAAGGAAGGTCCCGGCGGTTGACGGGGGACTAATCTGGTTTTAATATAATAAACATATGATAATTTCCCGGTTGAGAAGACAGACTTCCATGAGACTCCTAACCAGCTCTCGGATAACGTCGTAGAATGGCCCATGGGCCCATCGAGGTTTAAAGGAGGATTGCACGGAAAGAACGAAGGTCGAAGAAGGGAGAAATCGCCTAGTGGGGAGAGCGGTGAATCTCTTGAGGGTGCGGACAGACACGCAATCGGCATCGAAAGATTTGACCTCTGAGATCTAGCATGGCTCAAAGTTGGCGAGTTCGGCGATCTCCGCCCACCGATCGTCTGATCACTCGCCGTAGTACAATAGGTGGCGAGTGATTAGATAGCTGAGAGAGCGTAGTGTTGAAGAGGGCACAGCGATGAGAGTCGCATCAATGCTCAAATCAACGGGCAAGGAAGGGGTCCCATTTCTCGGGTTCTGGGCCGTTTTTCGTGGTTTCGCTTTCTTTCTGGTACTACTCACCATCTCTACCTCAATTTGGAATGGGTTGCTTTTCCATCGTAAATTCGTCCTTTAAAGTCAACGCCCACACAAAGTCGTCTTCTCTGTCTCACAGGTATTCTCGGGAAAGGGGAGGAGAGGGGGTGGGGATTGGAGTAAACATGAGTATCACAGATGTGCCGTTTTCGTGTCTCGAAAGTGTGCGACCGAGCGATAGGGCTTCAGAAAGTGAGTTAAGCCGAATAATCTTGAGTTATTGTTCTATGTTATGGACGGGATATCTCGTGCACACGTTGTGCTGCGCAGCGTGGATTACGGTGAAGCGGCTTGTTTATTATCATGGGGTCAGTTGTAGTCGTAAGCAAGCAAAATTGGAACAGTCTCAGTCGTTCAGGGACTCCCTCCACCCTCCTCTAAGGAGAAGAGAATGAATAATTGTCAATGGCTTTATTGACGGTTTTCTTTGCTTCCTTTTCATCTTTAGTCACCGCGGCATTCACTTTCTGATTAACACTTTCGATCGCTGTGGCCCCACAAATTTGATCTGGAGATGTTGCTTCAAGCTCGTGTTGTACACAATTCTTCCGTGCAAATATGCTCGTGTTGTACACAATTCTTCCGTGCAAATATCACTCCGAGACAGGTTTGAACGCGTCATCAGACAGAAGCATAACGAGAAATGCCTTCAAACTAAGGGCCACGCAAGGTGGAATGTGAAAGATAGGACATGCAACTGTCGGATGCAGTACGGTATGCCATAAGCGATGTGGCACGTAGGTTGGCCTTGCGCCACAGCGGCTTGCACTGCGGAGCTGAGAGGTGAGAAAAAGTCCGTTCTGCTTGTGATAAGGCATGATAGCCGAGCGAGCCCCCCTAAGTGCTGGACCAACCGCAATCGCAAGAACGAGTTGTACGCAACGACTTGCATAGCCATTCCGTTTGCGCTATCGACGCTGCACCCATCGGTAAGCTAACGCTTTGCCGCAAGTCTCTAGCCCTTTGGCGAGAGAACATTAGCGTTGAAAAAGTACAGCACCGATAAGAGTCGCGCCGTTGCGGAAATCAATGGACAAGGAAGTAGTTCCATTTTTACTTTGTCATAATGAAACATTTCCATACATCTTTATTACAATATTACAATTCCTTATCCAACCAGCCAATTGCGCAGAACAGGTTAATAACTCTATGGACAGATTTGTTTGTGGAGGAGAGGGAATTATCACAAACAGTTCTGGAACTCACAATGTAGGGACAAAAGTAAGTAGCAACTAACAGTTGCACCACATAGGCAACTCTGCGAGTAGAAAAAGTATTCACAAGTTATCAGCCAAAGCCAGTGTTTGCGATAGTCGGGAGACAAAGCTAATTTAGAGATGGCCAGAAATGGAAAGAGCAAAAGGAACGATCAATATTTTCAAAATCTCATTGAAAGGCGATCGCATCACAAGGTTGCGACCATTTCATTCTTCGCCCTTCCTGCTAATGACGTCTCTAGATAACTTCCGCCTCCAACGCATTCGTACCCCGACTGACCTTTCATATTGCATAAAACAGCAAAAATTCGGCCAATACACAATTATTTCCAGTATGGTGAAAGTTCTGGATCACTGGAAAATCGGAAAATGTCTAGGAGCGTATAGCATTGGATTTACAGCTACAGTAATAAAACTATTGATTAAAGGAATCTTGCGCGGAAAATTCTTGCACTCTTTCCTAACATGAATATGTCAGTTGTGATCACTGGAAATAGCACACAAAGTTTCACGCATGAAGATTCGGTTTCTGAAGAGAAACAAACGTACAAAAACTACACGTTATGGACCATCGAAGGACCAGGAGGCAGAGCCAGGCGACGCAATGAGAGAATCGGGTTAAAGCGCGCGATTTCGGAGAGTGGAGACAAATCGATCGATGGAATAGGATGGAGTAGAAGTGTAAGATGTGAATGCAACGAAGCAGAAGGCCAGAAAGAGCTTCTAGTGAATGCACTCCAAGAACCAAGTTTGAGCATCCCCGTCGCCAGCATTCGTGAAAGACGTCCGTGGGCAATTCGAACGCGTAGCAGCCTTTTCGAGTTTTCGAATTTCTAATCAAAACGAAAGCAATACTTCAGTTCTTTTCACTATTATCGTGGATAATGAGTCTCAAGCCAGTGATTTATGGCTGAAATAGAATCATGATTTTTCCGCGCAAGATTCCTTTAATAATAAGAATGAAGGCGTTCGAAAAACCAATTTATTTAGACGCAATTCCAGAGATCGAAACCCAAATATTGACCAGTGAGACGTTTTTACGCACGTCAGACAAGCATTGATTGCCGGTTTCTCTTACATTTGCCTCAGCGCCAGAGTGGTTTCAGTTCTCTGGGCCATGTTCATACTAGGTCATCAATCTTGGCGTCGAGAAGCCGCGAAAGCATTTCTGCTTATAATAATTCGGCTAGTTTGCATTATGGGCGTATTACTTCACTCGAGAAACGTTTCCAGCAGAGGTAATCGTTATGCACGTTTCGTGGGGTCTCCTATTCTCCAACCAAAACACTGATCACAAGCGTAGCCATAAGTACTCAAAGGCACACTACCATGGCGGAAGCGGAAAACATGTTCAATTATGAAGCGATAATTGTTAACTGAATTTCCAGTAGAGAAAAATATGTAGAAAGGAAACGGCTGAGAACATGAGAATATCTGAGATTTTTCCTTTCCTGGAGCTCCTGTTTCACACTGTTTTGGAGGATATAAGAGCCTAGCCGCTGAATAAGAGGCGGGAGGCGCCGCAAGGACGTGAGAAATCTCGAAAAGCGAGAGAGGCATAGCCTGCGAAGTGAGACGCAGACGCCCAACACCGGTGTGTGGGCATTGATGCCGAGCCTTTGCGCCTGGCGCCTTTACCACGTCTTTGGAGTCACGAAAGTTGCACAGGGTATGTAAATACGGAACCAGCTGCGTCATTGTGAGCGAAATTGATCCAATAGTCAGAGAATGTGCCTACAGAGACAAAGCTGCTCGCTGGAATATGCCACTGAATGGGTAGAAAGGTATGCTCTCGACGGTGTCGTAAGAACGTTGCTACCACTAGTGACGATGGTGGACGGCTCTCTGAAAAAAGGCATAATTGGGACTACGAAGGGTTGCTCTGGATGACGCTTTTAGCTACCTCATACTCATGTTTCACTTGTGCAAAATGATGACGACAATCGCGTGAACGATCCCTGGAACGATGAGCATGCAGGTCAAAATAATGTTGACGAACAGCGCACATGTGCAGCCTTGGTCGAGGAGGACGGCTAATGGCTGAACTGGAAAACTGATTTGGTAACAAAATAACACATGGAATAAGTCCCTCTAAACGCTAAAGTGGGTAGTAATGATCATTTATTTCCACATGCGCCACGCATCTGAATTTCAGCACGATTTTCAGGTTGTACAGTTGGGGTCAACTGCAAGCCGCCAGACCTTCAAATTAGGACCTTCTTGTTCAAAATGAGCATGGTGAAATTCATGTTATCTATGCAAGGGATACTACTCAATGTCTTGTCGTGGTCTCAAACTCTTCTTTTTAAGCCCTTCATGAAGAATACAACGCTTAAAAGCCTTCGTACTGGACTGATTATACTTAACTCCCATTTCCTTTCCCGAAACCACTTGAAAAATAAGCATTCTTTTGCATTCGGGAACTGTTTCAAAGGCCTTTGGGAAATACTTCCCAACCATACTCAGAAAAATTATAGGTAGAATAAATTTTATTTGTAATAATTTTTGAAAGAAAGGCGACTTGTCAGTAAGAATTGAATTGGTAACCCCTTACGACTTACCGGAAGGAAGAACGCCAGGATTATGAGAAGTATCTTGCACATCGTGTAGCCGCAGAAAAGACCTCGAAGTGCGAAGTAAGTAATAAGGTTTCATTAAGTGACGCCGGGTCTCCACGGCAACAAGACTCCGATGTCAGGGACCACAACTGATAAGAGATCATAAATGAGCACAACTGCAAAACATTCAGCACACCTGGCTTCATGCAATTGTCCTCTAGTCGTGAGCGCTGCAATGGCGTGTGAGCAGTGCCAGGCGATGACGAAAGCCGCACCTAGTAGAGCACTTCGTTGAGAAATCCATCTTCAGATAGCCGGCTTCCTATCTTCATCGGAGCACCATAGATATTACTCTACGACGATCAGGAAAAACGGCCAGAAGGTCTGGCAGTAATGGTCAGTATACGGTAGATTGCACCGTAATCCTAGATTGTGAAAAAAGCAGACATGGCGACCATCCACGTCCGCCCAAGGGCAGTTGTCAACCGGAAGGCTTGGTGAACAGCGTTTTGTAGCGTTCTCTGGGCACTCTCGCACATGCACACTATTACAGCATCTCTGCTTTCTTTCCTTTCGACAAGGCTTAGTCACAGAGAAGCTCCGAAGTATGTAATTTTCTCTCTGGACTCTCACGTTTGGTTGACAGCTGCCCCGTAACCATACATATCAGTCAAAATTCAACTCCAAATCCACTTTATGCCGTTAAATTTCGCGAAACGGTATTCACCGGCTGGCACAGGTACAGTACATATACACGCCGTCTGATAAGGTGTGTCTATGGATTTGACGTAGCCGAAGCCGCACTTGATAGAAGTCGTGTGGATAGGCTGTACTAATGTCAGTAAACCATGCTGGTAACAGCTTATCTCCACACGACTTCTGTCAACTGCCGCGAAGGCCATGCCAAATCCATAGACAAGCCTAGACGCCGAGATATGGACTGTACCACTGTGCAATCTCGCCTCAAGAGAATAGAGCTGAACACATTGCGAGGTTCGCCATGCAACCTTCTTCCACTCAAGATTGTCAAGAACCACGCACTGGTCTCGTATACAGTGCCTGATATCCAGATTTTGTCTACTCCTTGAGTCAGTTCTATTTTTAGATTTCTAACCCTATTTTAATGACAAGTACCGATTACCCACATTTTCTAATCAACTGAAACCCTCGCGTTGTCGTGACAACGGCTGCATCTATCAGCAAGGAGATAGCTGTAGCAATGCCCTAAAAATAACTCATTAAATCAATTTTACAATTTTGTTTATTTTGAAAAGGCAGTGCACAACAAGTAACAAACTCATATATCTCAGAAAAAAATCAACAAGAGAGTCACTAACAAGTGAGACCAAATCAAAAGGGCATAAGGTAGGGCACAACTCACATCATACAAATTATAATGTAAAGGCAATCTGTGTTACTCGATCAAAAAAGAGTATCCGGGAATATGAGACCCGTCGTCATTCCTTATTTCTTCTAACCGAGTGTTCACTGCTGAGTGCAGATTCCTTCCTGTACGTATCGCCAAATCGATCATGGCCGGCACTGAACGTGGATCCATGCCACCAGGGTCCATTTGTCTCACCACGCGTAACCGTATTTGATCATCCGGTGTTCTCTGAAGAACTCATCAAAAGATCATTCAATATATGAAGCTATACCACTGCAACATCTTTAATCTGTAAGGGTCCCAAAATTTTAAAACTTCGCAATTATTTGAAATAGTAGAGCTAAACGACTCACTTCACTTTCCGGCTGGTCCATTACAATCCATAACGACGTTCGCAGCAATGCTTCTTCAACTTCCGTACAATCTACAGCTATCGATTTACCGATCTGATTCACAGTTACACAAAGAGGAGCACTGAAACAGAGAATTCAATCGAGGCCAAGAGATTACACTATAAGTAAAGCCGGATTAAAGCAGTATCTAGCCCAAATAAACTGCCTGACACAATATAGAATCATTCTGATGCTTTGAGAGAACGAGCAAAACTTCCAGCCCCGTAGGGGACTCGAACCCCTGACCGTTAGATTAAAAGTCTAACGCTCTACCAACTGAGCTAACGAGGCCTCGACACAACATCGCCGACTGGTTGTTGATTAGATTACACCGCGCGAAAATTTTCATCTCCCACAACAGAACCACATGTGAGTACAAAATTATCCAACTAAATTGAAAAATCAATCAATCAGGTCAAAGGCGTACTGGAATTTAAAGACGTTCCGTGCAGCAGAAAAAACCTCAGATCAATTTTAATCAAATATAATCTTAAGAATAACGAAGCTATTAGAATTAATTTGTATTATCTTGAAGCCGATGAAATGGAAAGTAGAAGAGTAAGATTAAAAAAAAACTAGAGAAACCGACGTAAAAAGAACAATTCTCTGCTGAATGCCTATCGAGCCGAATTGCTGGGGAATAAATCAAATTACTCTATCTTTCGGAGAAACGCTAAGCATTTTTGCAATAAAATTCTCACTACGTCCAACCATATCCCTGGCTAGAGCACGATCGTCTCCAAAGTAGCTCAAACACATACATATATTCCGTGGACCACAGAAAAATGCAATTCTAACAAGTTCCCATCTAATGATTTGTTTTCTGATCAGACTTTTCCTCAACAAGCAGCGGAAAGTCTTTTTGAGCTAACATGACAAGTTTCAAGACATAATGAGCTCTTCAAAGTCTAGATAGGTATTTTGCATTCGGAAAAGAGTATTAAGTGTGGATAAAGCAAAAGATAACGAGCAAACTCACTTGGCTGCTTCTAATTGGAAGAAATTCGTTTCCGTAGATTCATCACATTCTATATTGAATTTGCCCTCATCCTGAGGAACAAGCGTCAGATTGGTAATCCTTGTGTCAATCAAAGCAGCTTTGACCTAGAAAAATGGATAATCTAACGTGAATGAACATAATATTCAGAGAACAGCAAGTAAAGGGTCTAGCAAAAGGGAATACTTACAGCAATGAAGATCGCATCAATAATATTTCCACCATATTGCTGTATAACTACGTCTACATAAACTTTCCACATGAACTGTTTTGAAAGAATAAGCCTGAAGTAATTCTTGAAAAAAGACAAGCGTGAGTAGATAAGTTGTAACACATTCAGACCTTTCCATATTGGTGAATGACATCTCCACTTCCATGATAGGCCTCTTCTAACACATCAGCAATAGCTTCAGTGAAATACTCGCCACCTCTTGCTGAATGCAAATGACTCTATATCACTTAAAAAGATGAAAAAGCGGCGATTATTTGGCGAAAAATGAACAGCTTACCTTCTGTACGTGCAGCAGCTAAACAGGATGGATCAACGGTGAACTGCAAACGATTTGGGACCGTTGATGTGTCTTCACATTCCATAACTTCGCATTTCACACCTACCTACGGCATGTCAAGATAAATCAGAATACACCGGAACTTATCACAGAGGCAAAGACATACTTATTCTATACTAATCCATACGGAGAAAAGAAAAACAAAAAGGAAGAAAAGCACTTCGCTCAACTTACCAAAATATCCGTAGTGTCTATTTTTACTCTCGCTGAACCATTTGTTGTATTTAAGGCAGGACTTTCGATCCACATTGGACGGAAGTCGTCCACACTTCAAAAATAGGAATTAACATCCTACTCGGGTAAATATGCAGTATACACTGTACTTATAAATTTCATGATTTCACTTCATTTCAAAGTTAACGGAATTTGCTGTTTAAGGTGTTGTGGGAACTTTTCCGAAATTTTGTGGGCACAATTTAAAAGATGCGACCGGAGCCATTTTGGAAATCGAAACGAATCATTTGGGCTATTAGTACAAAACACTGCGCATTGGTTCAAAAAATTCTACTACAAAACACTGCCCATTCTTTGAAAAAAAAAAGACATTTTGCTACGAAAAGTACTAGAGCGCCCACATAAACTCTTAATAGCACCATGAAATTAGGCACAATGTAGCCCGGGGGTGGGGCGGGGGGAGCACCACGTAACATCGCATTGAGATCATGGAAACGCTCAGTTTCAGGACTAAGCGTCGAAGAGGAGAGGGGACTTGGCTTCGGAAGCATGTTCGATTCTCGGCAGATGCCCCCCCCGCCGCCCCCCCCCCCCCCCCCACCTTCTGCTAACTGGCCTTACTTTCAAGAGTTTTTTTAAAGAATGCCCCAACTCCTTTCCTAGCCACACTGGACGAGATTGTGATAGTATTACAAGTGGTAACAAAAAAATCCACAGATCTTACCCTCGTCCATCATCACGGCATCCATCAGCGAATCCCTGAGCGATGAAATGCTTTTCAGCGATACCCAGTAAAACTGGATCCATATTCATACAGAAACTAAGATGGAGCCAAACTATGGAATCTTCCAGAATACAAGGTAAAACAGCTCGATAAAACAGGCTGCAAATTTGATTCATTCAAATCAACAATATTTTAGGCGTCGCCAGGGTAGGTGTGCGAGTACGACAAATACTTTCCTGAATGACGCACAAAATGTCTCGGCCTTGTCTTTGGGTACTGATGATTCACCAATGAGGGTTTGGCGGGTCGTATCTGGTACATTAAGGGGAAAGTGTCAAGCCCACGGGCCAGAAGTAGAATGTGCAGCATTATGATAGGAGTGCATGGTAGACTGTTTTCGCTGATAGAGAAGCTAAAAGGAGTAGGAAAACGAAGCTATAGTTTGAGAGCTATACTTTTCATCAGCGCCCTTTGTAAGGCACGTTATTTTGAGCAAGCTGGTTGCAAACAGAATAAGAAGCAGGTTTGGACTGGGCGGTTTTCGCAAGCCAGTACAAATAGGGATAAATATTCCAGTGCTTCTGCAAGTCAACAGAAGAGGTAGGCGCAGTGATCTCAGGCGAGTATCTGTGGTATCTACGCCTCCTGAAAAGCAGAAAGTGATTGGGTGCAGACCACATACCAGCGGTGCGACGCTAAGTAATTGGTTAGTAGTGGTATTCATATGTGATAAGCTGTATGTCAGTAAAGAGATAGTTGCAGATTAAGTGTCGCAGAGCGAATAAAACGTGAAAGGTTAATACACTTTATTCGCAAAAAACATGGTGATGTTTGAGGCGGGTCACTTGTGGTTGGTCTGCCACGACCAATTTCTGACTTTTGAAGGGAGGGTACACTTGAATTCAATTTCTTGCGAGAAGACCAATCTCGGGGAATATTTCAAATTTCTTCAGGGACCAAATTATCTGGCACATGATGTAGGGATGTACTGAATCCATTCAAAGATTGCTATCGTCATTCGAATTATAATGGGAGAACCATCAAAAATTCCAATGCATTCGAAAAACTCCATTCATTTCCAATACTTTCACAAATTATCGAAATTCTCTCGAGAACTCATTACCTTCTTAAAAATACATTCCTCTCCCTCTCTTTCACTCTCAATTCCAGCCTCTCCTTGAAGAAAAGATTATGTCCTTCTATCATGCGGTCCTCGACGTTGCCTCACGTGGCACGTCATTGTTAGTGCTGAAAATCCTGGAATTCAGTCGTTATTGGTCACTGGTGAGTAGGAGGGGTGGATTCGCGCATCACATGGTAGCATTGGTCGGACGTAGGTCGGACTGCCTGTAGCATATCATAGCGACATTTTCGGTATTTTTTAAAAGGCACATAACCGATGGGGCCAGAGTAGTGTGAACGTTTCTTTCGGTTCGTGGTATAGACCCCTAGGTTACAATCACAAATGTGGCGTTCTCGTGCACGGAAGCCAACCGATAAGAGCGCCTGGGCCTTGCAAAGTAAGCTGCCAAAGCTGCAAAGGTTTTTATCTTTTATCAGGCTGTTGTATGGCGCTCTCCCACTTACAATTACATTCGCAGTCGTGTACAGGCCACCGAATTGTGATCCTGGGGGCAGCTTTCGAGTCTCAAACCCTTCGCTGACGCTCGGCTTTGGGAGACTATGGCGTTTTAGACATAGTAATTGCAAGTAAGGGTGAAGGAGAGGAATCGTGCCTTTGTGTAACAGTGTCTATCCTACATCAAACGATTCATTACAGCGGAGCTTATAGGTTGCACCTTTGTTAAGGATTGTTGTCGGACCAACACGACTTGAGGAGGATTCCTGATTGAAAGATCGAAGGTCGAGAGGGGGAAACAATATTAGCGAAAGGTCGGCAGATACCTGCGAGGCGGATCGCACGGCATTCGCAACGAAGAATGTGCCGCCGACTATCTAGCATAGCTCACTCCGCGACATTACGTCGCCTCCATTGGCGCGAAACGCCTCCCTCTCGCTGTCTGACCCTCTAGTAGCTTAGCAGAGAGAGAAAGAGAGCGTAGCGTTGAAGAGGGCACAGCGATGAGAGTCGCATCAATGCTCAAATCAACGGGCAAGGAAGGGGTACCATTTCTCGGGTTCTGGGCCGTTTCTCATGGTTTTTCCTTCTTTCGTGTACCACTCACCATCCCTAGGTCATTTCTAAATGGGTTGCCTTTTCATCGCAGAATTCGCCTTCAAGGGACGACTCAATGTGTGAAAAAGGTCGGGAACCCCGAGAAAAAAAACAGGAGGGAAGTGCATCCTATGGTTGATTGAGGAAGTAATCTAAATTTCCCACGTTCTTCCCGAACTGGTTTTCAAAGTGCGAACAGAGGCCAACTGAGAGTGTGTCGGTCTTAAAGCGACAAATGGCGACTGCTGACTCGTGAAAAGGATTCGTGTGTAGCGACGCGCGAAAGTCTATCTTTTATCGTGTACGATCAGCATCGTCGACACACTACATCGATTTGTTGGGATAGCAGCGTGGTTTGGTCCAGTTGGTCTCTCTAGTGTTTCGTTTCGAATGTTATTTACTGAACTGTAAAGACGCTCTGTTGTCCTTGCTCACCGTGTTAAAGATGGTCTACGGGCTCTACCGTAACCGGTCCAGTGATACATATTTCTTCAAAGATCGTTATCACTCACATCCTTTCACTAGCAACTGTGCTCAGATGGCTACAAATTTTCGCTTCCCTTTTGTCCATTTTGGCCGAAGTTCCGTTTTGGTCTTCCCCGGTCATTAGTTTAAGCTTACGCCCACAGAAGTGGTTTGGAACCTGAGCGCAATGTGGTTGAAGAGAGGCCAGTCTGTAACATTGCTTCAGAAGCACGGAAGCGCTCAGTTCAAGGAATAAACCTTGGAGGATAAGAAGAGATTCGAGGTGCTTAAGGAATTCTCCGGAATTCGTCCCTCTCCGTTAGGCTTAGTCCAAGCGGCTTTTCGACAGACTGCACCCCCCGGAAGGCAGTTAGCGCCGGTACCTGTTCGGTAGCATTCTTAATTTCTGAAAAAGCTTGAAAGTATTGCCAACGAAAGCGTTGGAATCGGCTCATCCTGAATCTCTAGGTGGTAGAACCGTCACCTCTTGAGATGTCAGTGTTTCAGATGATGTTAGGCAATCCTTTTTGGCAATAGGTTGCTCGAAGGGCTCTTTCTTGCTGGTTCTGTATATGAAAGCCCAGGGTATACGGCGTTTATTAATAATTCTTTGAATGTGCCATGCACATCATTTGAATCACTATTCCAAGTGGACTTTGAGTTTGGTTTGAACCCTACAAAAACTGCTGGACCAGTTGAATCCTTCGCTTTCGTTTTCGAAGTTTATATAGCAGGTAGAAAGAAATAACCTATAATCATGAATTCGACTCCTTATTTCAGTATCACATATGTAAGAAGTATAGAAGTAGCCAGCTGACACAGGCGTTGGCCTCGAAACTCACACTGTAGCGAAATACACATTAAACTAATAAAGACAATCGAATGTAGCAGAATGCATGGCTCATCCTCACTAGGACTGTGCCAGCGGGGAGCAGAAGCTTTGGGGAATGCGGAAATTGCTCAAGCGCCCCGGATCCCGTCCTAGTTCGCATGAGGCTTGGTCCCTTCTAACAAAAAAGAGATGTTTGACGTGGTTCTGACTTCGTTGCCACTACCCCCTCCATCTTGCGATAGGGCACCGAATTCTTTGTCCCTTATCACGCACCTGCGAATTTGGGAGTAGAGGAAGTAATGGCACCTAGTAGCCCCTACCGGCCACCTTTTTCTTCCTCGATAAGTTGCTTGAAGCTCGTCTGATATTGTAGAAAAAATCGGATTTGTACATTGTATAGCTCCGAGTTCGTTGTTTAGGCCAAATGTCCGCGGGCGTAACCCAAAGCGCCATTAATGAATGGGTAGCGCTCTGACCAATGGTAGACCTAACAGGTGTGCGCCATGAATTTGCTCTCTTTGTGACTACAGTCAAGGGGCGCTATCGCAAGATACGGGGCCATCGTAATGGCGACGCATTCAAGATCACGTTAAACGTTGTTAGAAACAGGACCAATCTTTAAGCCAGAGAGGAGAGGATCTAGAGATTTTGCTAGCGATCTGAGCTATTTGCCCCAAAGTTCCTGCCCCTCCCAGGCTTAGTCCTAGAAGATGTTCCCGCATCTTCTGATAGCATCTGCATCCGTGATTGATTCACTGATCAGATCATTCCTTTCTTGAGCTAGCCTTTTGTATCATTTCGCTTTTTTGTGCAGGCAAGCTTGCAGGCATTTACGGACTCCACCATTCAGCCTCAGCGGGAATGGGGCGCCTGCTTATCGAAAACCGAACCGTCGGCGCGCGACAGCGATGCCCTTATCCGCCTCCGTATATGTAAAAGCGCAGCATGTCCTACGCGGGATTTTTTCCAAAAGTCTTTCTTGCATTAATAAATTTCCCCTTGCAATGTTCTCCCTTTTCAAGGACGGAAATGCCCAAATCATCTATAAGAACACCCGTGTTCTGTATGACCTTATTAGATCTTTATCGTGGTTGCGATACCAAGACTGGTCGGTCAACCAATCGTGTTCCACGGGTTCTGCTTTCACTTTGATGGTCCCGTCAGAGTCCAGATCCCGCTTCTTTCACTCTGGTACTTGTTATGCTAATACTCACTAGAAAAGCCGTCAGATCAAATACCCTTTTCGACTTTGTGAAATCAGATGGCTGGCCCTTCTAAGGAGACGGAGGGGGGGACGGTCAGATCGAACCGAGTACATTCTCTGTTTCGCACTCTTACCCTTACTGGAAGAATAATTGCCACAATCGCTGACTCACCACCAGCTTAGCTTGCTAAACGTCCCGACGATTTTGCATTCACTACCGCAACATCGCTGTCCAGACAGCTGATCCGGAATATTGGACTGGAAAAGTTTTTCTCTGACTGGAAACCTGTGCTAAATCTCGGTCTAAGATCTTTGCTTATTGTACCTAATACGATCCATTAAGCAGGACACGTGCTCCGCATTGTTTTATCCCCCGTGACCCCGCGCTTTCAATGGAAAAAGCTCACTTTGAGAGGCCTAGACTCCGTACGATTAATTGAATGCCCCTCCTCTTTGGAAAACGAGAAGTACAGCGACTACAGACCACATACCACAAGTT